TACTAATGCTACGCTACTTACACCAATTCTAAACCAATCGAGAAAATCTTTGATATGTTTTGTTTGAATATCATGTGCTGCATTCCTACCTGATATATTATTCTTAAGCTTCTCCAGATGTCGCTTATTTATACAATAATGAGATTGTATTGGTATAATAAAAGTAAATTATTCATGGGTGATCCTATTCTTAAATTATTATATATTACCTTCGATAATCACTTAAAATTTCAAGATTATTCAATACAAATGTATGAACCTACTCCAAGTTAGATCTGGGATATTTTACGAGTTTCTTCTCCTTAGTTAGGGTCTGATCAGTTGTTACACGATTACGCATGTAACGTGATACAAATATATGGCATTCATTGTTCACGTAACCTTCAACCAAAGAACCCTCCGGATGAGCTCGATTGTGAACTAGGCACTTCATAAACCCCGAATATCTATAATAATAAAAGCTTTATGCACTTCAAATATCTAAAATAAGTAAAACTTCAGCTAGGACAAATTAAAGATGTATACACTGCATATAAAATTAATGGACTAGGTAAAGTCCTTAACCTCTCAATTGGGTACATCCAACGATACGATACAGGACCCACAATTATAGCCTCTCTTACTAGATGTTGAGTAACATGGACCATGACCGTGAAAAAGGAAGGAGGAAATATTAATTCTAGGTTACATAAAATTAATGATACTTCTGCTCCAAGTTTTTTAAATTCATTTAGGTCTATAACTTTAGAGCATAATTTTCTAAAGAATCCACAGTACTCCATAATAATTTTTGATGCTTCTTTCTCCATATTATTACATAATGCAACCGGGAGCAATTGATATAGAAGAATGTGATAATCATGGGTCTTTAGGCCTAATAGTTTCCTCTCTTGCACCTGAACATTATTTGATATATTAGCAGAATACACATTTGGGGACTTTACTGATTGAGGACCTCACAAAATCTCTGCATCTGCTTTGTCGACATTGTAACACGAGAGGAAGGCTTATGTTTTTTCTTAAGTCCAACATCTTGTGCTTACAATACGGATATTCAATGCAGCTAAGTCTTAAAGAGCCCTTAGGTCGTCCTTTGACGTATTAGGATCTTAAAGGAGAGTTAAAACTATGTTGTCACAAACATTTTTCTCAATATGCATGATATCCAAGTTATGCCTGATTTTAAGCTTTTGCAAATATGGTAGCTAGAAAAAGATACTGAATTTACTCCATCATTTAGGTAATTTATTGACTCCATTATCAACATATACTTGTTGGATTGCTCTCTTCCTCTTCAGTGTCTTTTTCTTTTTGTCCGAGCCTCTAACTTTGAGTGAACCGTCCTCAGAATATCGGTTCTTTCCAAATCTTATTTTTGGAAGATGTTGAAGCAACTTTACAATATCAGCTCTGGTCAATTGACGTGGTTTATTCCTAGTCTCAACAGTGTCGTCATACTTATTGCTCAATTTTCTGTATCTGTAGCCCAAGGGCAACCATCTCCTGTTGAACTAATAACACTTTTGACTATATGATAAGTGAAAGCCTTCAAATTTTTGACCACATAATGGACAAGCAAACTTGTCTTTTGTAGACCAACCTGAAAGATTAGCATAAGCTGGAAAATCATTAATTGTCCACATTAGAATAACATGAAGTCTAAAAGACTCTTTAGCATGGGCATCATAGATCAACATACCCTCCGACCATAACTATTTTATTTAGCTCATCAATTAAAGGCTCTAAGTAGACATTAATATCATCACCTGGTCCTATGCTTACCAGGTATCAGCAAGGAGAGTATCATATACGATTGTTTCATATAAAGCAAGGGTGGTAAATTATATGTCATTAAGAAAACTAACCATGTAGACCAACCTGAACTCATAACCCCGAACGGATTGAATCCATCGCTAGATAGCCCAAGTTTGACATTTTTACATTCATGAGCGAAATTGGGAGTCGGCCAAAGGGTTGTGCCTTGGATTTATTCCTAGTGAGGTACCAAGGGCTTGTCCATGATGATCGATGAGAGCTGAAGAAATCGACCATATGTTGTGCATTGAGCTTACGTACCCTGATAAAAAGCCAAAGGCTTTTGACACGCCAGCCCGGAGGTTGGGTCACCTAGGACTTATTTTGGTGCCTAGGGCTTCACCATGATAGTTGATGAGAATTAGAGGATCCAACCACATGTTGTACCTTTGGGCTTACCCTGATAAAGAGCCGAGGGCTTGGAATCCGACTGAGAAGTCGAATGTCTAGAACTGTGAGGAGAGTTGACTGGGGCTTCAACTCCCCTATAGCCGAGAGACGACTGTGGGAGTCGGCTAAAGGGTTGTGCCTTGAGTTTATTCCTGATAAGAAACCAAGAGCTTTCTCCAGAGTGCCTAAGGCGCGGCTGAAAAGGACCTTGTAGGATGGGCATCTTCCATGTCAGAAATGGTGGATGAAATTTTAGCTAAGCTGTCGAAAGTTTCTGATGGATCTCTTCTCGAGAGTGTTCCACCAGAGCTTAGCACTCTCTGAAAGAGTGATAGGAAAATACCGACAGAGAATTGCTTTTGAGGCTTGGAGCATACTCATCACATCATAATAATTCTGAACGTGCTCGGAGGGGTCTCCCTCGCCCTTGTATGTCTCTATACGAGGCATTTTGAACTTCTCACAAGGGACATTCATAAGGTCATCTGAAAGAGGGTTGTTACTCCCGAAGATGCTTGCAATTAGTCTGTTGACTCGATCGTATCTAGAAGCTCTAATGGTAGCCGATGGGACTGGAGAGGCACGGTGGCGGAGAGTCATAAAGACTGCTTCTTGCGGCTGTGGAAGCCGGCTGAGAAGCTCATTGGAGAAGGCAACAAATTGCTCTTGGCAGGATTGAGAAATCATATGAGCTGTTGCTTCAAGCTGGGCTTGAGTAGCATAACTCTGATGAGGTCCTCTAGGACAAGATTGCTCACTTCTATCTTCAAAACTAGACATGTTCTCTCAAAAAAGAAAGAAGGCCCTACGGTGGGCGCCAAGTGTTGATGCTAAAGATCACACAATATAATCCAGAATAGGATGGTTGCGGTTGAGGCGTGATAGAGGATGATGAAGGGGATCTCTTCCTTTCCCAACTTTATGTCTGGCCACTGAGTTAGAGTTTGTGATCTGCACAGAAGAAGTCATGAGAGGGAGTGGTGATGATTCCCCCGTGGTACCTTCGACGATCAAGTCAGTTGATGAACTTGAATTTGAATGGAGTAATGGAACTATGTGTTCTTATGCTATGTGCATTAGAGATGATGATCTCTGAGATTAAGGTCAGGAGGAGAGTTTAGATTGCGAACCTTTTAGATTTCGAACCCCTTGGCTATAGCGAATAACATCTGCATATATAGAGGATTCCAAGGGCAGATTAGTCACTTTGGCCATGTAAATGACGGTAACAAGGTGTGAGCTGGAAGGTGAGTCATCCTTTACTCTATACGTGTCGGCTGGCGATAAGAGGAAGATCACTTTGACCTCGATTTGAGGAGCGATCGATGGGACGTGAGCTGATAAGCGGCGTGATGACGCATGGTCTATGAGTAGACATGATGTGACTTGTTGTCAGGATGGATAAGCTTTGGCAAAGTAATCTTTTAGCTTCGCTGAGAAGCAATGTCCCTCATGATGGGAGTTGACTCGTTGAGAGGAGTGACGACTCGTTGAGAGGAGTGACGGCTCACTGAGTCTACTAGGTTCTTGGTGAGTTGCCTGCTGTGAGAGGGCCGACTGGTACAGCCTTTCGAGTCGACATTGATGAATGTCGACTCGTCTGGTCAGCTGAGTTGGACTGCTAGCTGATCTCTGGCTATCTCTCCCGACAGTCGAGATGTTGATTCATTAGATCATATATCTGAAAACAGTTGTACCCCATAACAAATACTACCCTAACACACAAAATACTCAAACAAATTACTTCTAAATCTATTTTGTAATATAAAAGTTTGGTATATAAGGCGAGTCATTACATTTTGATATCACTTTTTTTTATTCTAAGTGATCGGGTACAGTGTTTTTAAATCATTTTTTATTAATTTTTCAATAATGTCGCAGCATTGTATGGGTCAATCTTGCTTGTGGTTAGCTAAAAGGCATATATGATTACTGTTTGTTTGTAAAAGAGAAAGCTTAAAAATAATTAATACTCATCACATAATTGGAAACTACTTTATTGTAGTAGTATATCCTTGAAATAGGACTCCTCATCATCGCTAATAGTGATGGTTCTTCTGCCACCTGTCTCACTAGCAATGTCGAATGTCATCAGTGCCCATTTTTTCTTCACTCTCTCATCACCGTCTCTCTCTACCATTTGAAATTCTTCTTCTTGGTCTCTAACACCTTCCTATCATCATTGACGTCATTCCTCTTTATTTTTCTAATTTTTTATTTATTAATTGGTTGAATTTTTTTTTTCTTATCTATCCATTTTTCATTAGCAATTAGGTTGAAGACTGAAAATGGGACAAAAGAAATCAGAATTTAGAATAGTTATTAAAATGATTAGATGGACAAAAAAAAAAAAACTTGTATCTCAGGAAATAATCCAAAAGAGAGAGAGAGGGAAAAAAGGGTCATTTGCAATTTGGTACTTTAACATCACACCATTTTTAGTTTTGGTTGCCCAAAGGTTTCCTGATACTTTTATACTTTAAAGTTTACATATTCTTTAATGTTGATATTTTAAAGATTTTCCCTTATAGTTTACTATCCTAAAGTTCACATCTAATTTATTTTTACCACTTTGATGCCAAAAAATTAGGGTACAAAAGCAGAAAATTTGTACAAATTCTGAGGTATCAAAGCTAGAAGTGTGTAAACATTAGGTTATGAAGTTCTGTAGAAAAAAACCTTTGGGGTACCAATGTTAAAAAATTTGCAAACTTGAGGGTCTCCAAGTCACAAATGGTGTTTAACTTGGGGTATCAAAGGGCAAATATACCAAAAATAAGGGAAAAAGCTACTGTGTTTTTTGGTTGGAGCTTCTGCCCATTTGACCGACCTCAGCTGATTTCTCCAGCAAAAGCACTGCTCTCTCTCTCTCTCCGTCTAGATTCTTCACTTTCACATGTCCTTTTAATCCCTAAATACCCCCTCCACTGTCGCCCTCTCTCTCGTTTCGATCGAGGGCATCGATCCCTCTCTCCTCAAAAGCCCCAATCTCAAAACCCTAGAAATCTCGCTCCGACCCCCCCAACAATTTCGACCCTATTCTACGCTCAAGTAAGTCTTAGTTGTGAAGTCATATTATTTATCCACCATTTTCTCTCATTTTATTGCAGTCTTGAGTTAGATTAAGTTAGTTCTTGGAGAATTTCTACACGAGTCACGCCTTTACTGGGGAGATTTTATCCTTTTCCCCAGCCGAATTGAATCTGTGTATCTGAATTGGAATTCTTATTACTATGGAGTACCCTTTGGTAGTTTCCTTTTTATTTTAATTTTAATTTTTAGCTAGATCAAGTAAGTTAATTTAAAAATTTATCATAGATCATGGTCTTATGGAGCACGTATGGTTATATATTAGGAAGTCTCATATTTATTTCTGTAGAATCGCAAAGATTAGTTTTATTTGAATCTTGTTTATGATGTTGCCTTTACAAACTCGGCCGAGTTTGTAAAGATAAAGACACCAATTAACTTAGACATGATCATAACCATGACCTTGTTGATGTTTGGTAAGTCAGCCTCACAATAAATGACCATTTTAAGTCTATCCTTTGATGATTGGCCTTTATTGTGCGTGAGCAAGGGGGAAAATAGTAGGCAATTGATCAAAAGGATACTTGTCCATAGGGTCAAACTGAATACATTTATGAAGCCACATTTGAATACCTTATCAATTTGATGATGATGATGATTATTGTTATTATTCTTGTTGTTATTATTCTTGTTGCATATCATCAATAGATGTTGGAAAGCAATAGACTTTAGGGTATCAAAAGAGATGGATTGGTATGCATCTATCAAGCATTTCACAAGTACTTAATAAGTTAATATGTATCGTGTTGAGTTAGCCCTTTACGAAAGATCCATGCATTTGGCATATTTGATCGTATCTTGTACTGATTTTAGTCAATTTTGTTGCTTTGGGTTCATGCCATTACTCTTATTTTTCTGGAATGGTCATGGCATTCAAACTCAGAACAAAGTGTTTTAAGTTGCCCGGTTTCTTAGACCCAGCTCACTCTTAACATGAATTGTAAAGTAAATGGGGTAAATTGTTGTTGTTACACATTAAGATCAATGTTAGTTCCAGGTTTCAAGTACTTGTGCTATATCTGATTTACTGATTCAATCTAGTGCGTTGGTCTTCTTGCTTATCTTCTATGCTTCCCTCTTTCTGACAAATAGTGTTCTACAACCAAATACATATATCAGGTAATGTGGCTCTGTTGTCTAGCTGTTGTGCTCATGTGTAATTGTAAAAGGGCTTGAAGTATATGGAGGTTATATTTCTCTTTTGCATCCTGTACTGTATTTTCTTAGTCTAATTTTCCATGTCTATTTGTCTATTTCTATTCTATCTAAGACAATTATAGCTAGGACCCTAGCTGTACCCATCTTCATCCTTATCTTAATACTTATTTGTGAGATCTCAGTCTTTTCCGTTTTCATGTAAACCTTAGTTACACAAACATATTTCATCTGTTTGTGGATTCCTCTAGAATCGAATGAAGCGCTAAACATGGGTTCAATATGCTATTAGCTACCTGATCATCTGGAATCTCAAGCTGGAAATTGTCATATTTAACTGATAATTTCCTTAATCTCACTTTTATGCATGGTGTATGTCTCCTTCTGATCTTGTTCTTCCAATTATTCGAAAGTGGAACTATGTTAGGTCAATAATGACCATTTGCTAATGTTTTCCTTAGTTGTTTTTTACTTTATGAAAGGGAATTAAACCCCTTCTACTCTACGAGACTTCTTTAAGGAGATTCTCAAATTTAAATCTTGGCTTGTTAACTCATTATATAAATCGATTAGGATCATGCACATTTAACAAGTAAAATATTCATATATCATCTTCCTTACAAACACAACATTATTTTAAAAGTGAATGACAAGGTAAAAGGCAATGAGGTCCTATGTCGTCTGAGGTGAGGAACGCTAGAAGAGGTGACTGCTTGAGTAAACCAAGACGACAAATCTTCAAACAATTCAAAAATGGTTCAAATAATATGCAATTGAACAAGATCTAAATAAATCACAACCGAATTTTCAAAGTCAGTACAAGACATAAACTACCTAAATAAAGTTATAAATACTAAATACTAAATAATAATACGAAATAGTAACTACTATTATAAATAATTAAGTGAAAAGTTTGAATTTTCAAGATTCTTGTTGTGGCATGACCTCAAAATAATATTGATAATTGGGTACATCATGATTAAAAATAACAAAAAATAAACCAAGAGAGAAGAAACAAAAAAATTAAAAACAAAAACAAACTTTCCTTTGTGAAACACTTTTCACGCCCTTAGAAATTCTAACAGCATCAAATACCTTTCATGCCTTATTGCACCTTTCTTAGGCGAGCTTTGATGAGCCAAAAGGCTTTGCCTTAGTCACCTTCATAGCTTGGCGATATGTGCGGCACTGAGGTACAAAACTGCCTCGCCTGAGCGCGTGAGGCTTTAAAGCGTGACACATTTAAGACATTGAAACACACACTATCTGATGAGTACAAACACACTGTAGCATACTACCTATTTACATATTGTTTTGTAATCTGGAACAAGTAAATCATTGATGAAAAGGGCCTAGTGCCTAATCTTTGTGTCATAGGCTTTCAGAGTTGATTGAGGGAAGGATTATTAGATTTAACTTCTATTTTGATTCTATGGAAATTTATCTTGTCAATTGTCTCAGTTCTGTCCAACTCACCCCATCTTACATCTACACACTGACACCATGTGCCACACTGTTTCTGCAGCCAATTTAGTCATTTATATATGATATATTTTTATTTTTATTTTTATTTTGTAATTATGGAATTGTGCAGGTATATATTGTGCTGGCAGAGCTTGATTGGAGGGACCGTATATCATAGCATGAGCATATTTCTACTTTCCTTCTATCTAACTGTGAATTTAGAGTTCTCCTTCGCTCTAGTATCATGTCCTCAAAGAGAAGCAAGGTGTTTAATTTAAATTAGGACATCCTGGGAGCCCATTTATTTGGCAAGTCATTTATACAAGTGAAGCTTCATAAGTGGTTTTGGAGTTTTTTTTAGCTTGATCTTTGTATTTGGTTGCATCTTTTCATTGGTCCGTTCGTTCTTGCACGATGCCCGTGATACGAAAGCTATATGAAGCATGTAAAGCATCATTTTCTCCCAATGGACCTATATCAGCTGAAGCTCTTGAAAAAGTTCGAGCTCGTTTAGGTGAGATGAGGTTTTCTTTACATGTTATAAAAAATGTCTTGGAAGTCAAATATGCTATTTATATATATCTAATCTGAAACAAAAAGAAGAAAGTTAAAAAAAATCTTTTGATGTATAAGTATTGGCCATTGGCAACTAAAGGAAGCCTGTTTTTTATTTGCTTAACTATCCTTCATTGTGCATCGTTGTAACATCGGGGTTGGCATGTGTTGATTTTGTTATTATGCACTACTTTTGCATCATTAGTGTATTTTGATGGTCATATTTAGTATGTAGTGCTATTAAATACCAGCCATTTGTGGCACGGCATATGATAACCACAAAAGAAAATACACAACGAGCTACATATAGCATAAATTTTGGGGTTTTATTTGTAAGAAAAGGCAAATACCATATTAGATATTAAAACTTTCTGAATGTGCAAATTTTCCAATCAAGATATAGGTGAAGGTCTCAATTTCAATATTATTTCAAATATAAAATGGAGACTTTTATGGAACAAATCTTAGAAGTGCGTTTTTCAATATCAATGCACCTCTAGAGGAGAGTTGATCCCGAGTTATTGCGAAAAGAAAAAAAGGGAAAAGAAGAAGAAGAAGAAGATTAGATTATGGAAGTCAATATTCTCACTCTTATTACTACTGCTACTACACCAAATCTCACTCTAAAGCCTAAACTTCTATTTTTCGTTTGCTTAAATGTTGGAGATTAAGGAAAACTGGAAGGTTTAGTAAATCCTTGTTATTTTTGCTAACTGGTAGATAACAACTTTATGTACATTTTATCCGTTTTCTTTACCTCGATAACAATGAGCACTATATTAAGTTCCAAAGTGGCAGTGGTGGATATGCATGTCTTCTTTTACATGGACGGACATAAAATATACAATATCTTCTATATTTATGCAGATGACATAAAGCCAGCCCACGTGGGTCTTGAACAGGATGCTCAACTAGTACGAGGGTGGAAACCTACAAATCCTTTGAATGGGAAAAAAAGCCGAAATGGGAGCAGTCAGTATTTGCCTCCGATTCAGTATTTGCACATACACGAGTGTGAAAGCTTCTCTGTAAGCATTAATGTTTCTATTTTGAAACAGCTAGTTCTTTTTGTCATGCAATAATAGTAACTCTTAGGCTACTAAGGGTTTGTATTATGTGATACTGGTGAATAAATTACTAGACATCTTTGACCAATATCATGATGAGAATTGGTGATTTATATGATGTTAATCTAAACATTTATGCAGATCGGAATATTTTGCATGCCTCCTTCTTCCATTATACCTCTTCATAATCATCCTGGAATGACTGTCTTGAGCAAGCTTCTGTATGGCACTTTGCATGTCAAGTCATATGACTGGATTGGTACAGAAGGATCACTTGATCCATCCAAAGGTGTGTGTTTCTCTCGTTTTACTTTATTAGTTTACTTTGATATTGGTGCCTAAATAGGGATGCATAACAACTTCTTGAATTCAATAAGAAAGGATTAATTAGGACATAAAACATATTGGTTAACGTCATCACTACGGTGAGATCAATTTTAACATCTTAAATAGCTGGTTGATTCTTAGCATATCAGCTAGGAAGTGATAATATTATAGGTAACGGAGGAATTGATCAAAAGCACCTGGTAAGAAGCAATTAAAAAGGATATAATAAAAGTTAACAGAGGAGATGACTCAAACTGGTACCAAACGGAAGAATAGGATTCATGTAGTATACTCTAAATTTAGGATAAAAGCTTTGTTGCTGCAGCTGTTGTGGATACCTTTGTGGTGCTGATTAATTGAGTTAGAAGTCTTGATTTGTTAGGCTTATATAAACCTATGTTGTCTTCTTCGCTACTCATGCAACATCAACCCAACCTATTATTAGTTCAAGGCTCTTCATTTTTCCATTTTAAACTTAATCTTGAGTTTTCGCCCCCAAGATATGATACGAGTCGCCAAGCGAGCACCTTTGATCGCGGAAGTATCAAAGGTGGGGTTGAGAAGAAAACAATAGGAACACACAAGACAATTCAATTGACGAAGGAAAATGCATTCTCTAGATTATGAAGAATTTCAAAGATTATAAAATTTCTCCCTCACAATCTCACTAGAATAAGGAACCTCTCTATTCTCCTTTTAATCCAATTTGATGATTAGAATCTCTTCTTTTATGTTTAGAAACCCTAAACAATCACTATTTATAGGGTAAACAACGTGGATGGCAAAATCATAAATAACCAAGTCAAAACTCAATCAGGATTCGTCTCGTCTCAAAACAGAGTCCATCTCGGTCTAAGAGACCGATCCGATCGATCGATGTACCAATACCGATCGACCATTCTCCCACTATCGGTCGACCATTCTCCCACTATCGGTCGACTGATAAGTGTCTCGGTTGACCGACCAGAGAACACGTTTCTCGTCCTGTAGTGTGTACTTATCCGGTCGACTGGTGCTGAGTATTCGGTCGACCGGCCAAAGACTTGTCGCCAGATTCCTGATTTCATCGTTTTTCCTACTTTTGACCGTTTTTGCCACCACCAATGGCTCTACCCACGTCTCTATTCTCGAACTCCCATGAGAATCATCTATCCTCAAGCTCTCATGATGATCGTTAAGTTCTCGAAGCATAGAAAAAGATACACCCGTATCATGGCTCCCCCTTTAGGAACTTGAAGTCCCGTTCAAGTTAGAACTTTACCTGAGGGAACTCGCGAGCCCCTCCTTTCCTATTGAACCATCTGGTCTTGCTAGGAACCTGATCTTGACGTCTGATCAGAAACGACTCCTTCGTCTCGCGTCTCGTCGTAGTCATATTCTGCTCCAAAATGCAATCCTCTTTCAGCGGTTATTCTCTATCAAACCACAAATTTTCAACGTGCGGTAAGATCACTTTGTCGTCACCCTCATTGTCCAACAATGGAGGCTCAAATAATTTAAAGTACTCGACATTAATCACCGAATACATGCCTAAGTAAGGTGGCAAATCTAGCTTGAAGGCGTCGTCACCAATCTGATCAAGAATCCGAAACGGATCATATCGTATAGGTTTTAAGTTCTCCCCTTCTCTTTTTAGCCACTCCTTAACTTTAGCCACACCATGTGACTTTTGTCAAAATTACAAAGAGCTCGATGTTGATCATGTTTTGCCTTGTATTTTGTTTATGATTTCTTTAACTGAGCTTCAACCGTAGCGTGAATCTGTGCAATCTTCTCTAGAAATCGTTGAGCTCGTTGTCTTTCGCTCCCTTTTTTGCCGTCGGCCGTAGTTTCACTAGAGAATACTAAGTCGAATGGACTTGGAGGTAAAAACCCATAACACGTCTCAAACGGTGATTTTTTCGAAGATCTATGAATAGCCCTGTTGAAAGCAAACTGAAGGTACGGTAAGCTCTCATCCCAAGTCTTGGGATGCCTGAAATTATACCCCGCAACACGTGAATCATAGTCCGGTTGACTACTTCTGTTTATCATGGATGAAAGGCCGTGTTCTTCTTCAATTTAGTGTCCATTAAACTCCACAAAGAATCCTAAAAGTGCCTGAGAAACCGGCTATCCCGATCCGAAATAATCGAACTCGACAACCCAAAGTGTTTCCACACATGTTCAAAGAACAACTGCATTGCACCCGCTTTCGTCATGATCTTCTTGTAAGGAATCAAGATCATCATCTTGCTAAACCGGTTCACCACAACAAACAAGTAATCATGTCTATGTTTGGTCGTCGGCAAACCTTCTAAGAAATCCATAGAAACTCTCCCACGGTCTCGAAGATACCGACAATGATAGATACAATCCCCTCTTGCTGTTAGAAGGCTTTGATATGCAACATAGCTTACACCCTCCAACATACTTGGTAACGTCCTCCAACATCTTTTGCCAAAAGACATGGCGTCATAGATTGAGAAGCGTCTTATGAATCCCAAATGACCTTGCACACGTGATATATGTGCCTCTCGAATCCACTGTAATCGATCGTCGTCCTTCGGAATGCAAAGTAACGTCCCACGATACAACAAACCATTTGCTCCAATCTCATACTCCCCCCTTCGACCAACCTTCGTCTGCTCGAACACACTATCGAAGTCTCTGCTAGATGTGTACATCTGTACATATTCTAAAAGAACCAAGGGCGGAATACGCATCGTCACCAATAAAGCTCTAACTGGCGGTCGAGATAACATATCGACCAACTTGTTCGTTGTCTTTTTTTTGTACCTAATGATGATGTTGAACGCCATCAAATAGGACATCCACTTCATGTGTCGTGCCTGTTGCAGCTTGGTTTGGGTATGTAGAAACTCCAATGACTTGTGATCTGAGTGCACAACCACCTCCTTACCCAAAAAATACACCCTCCAATGCTTGATCGCCTAATAGAGTGCATAAAACTTCTTATCGTAGGTAGGATAGTTCAGAATAGCACCCGTAAACATCCAGAATGGTATTCCACCGGCTTCCTATCCTGTGTCAACACAGCGTCCATAGCATAACTAAAAGCGTCAGTCTCTACCTCGGAGGTCCTCTGTAAATTAGGCAACGCTAACACCAGTACCTCCAATATCTTCCTCTTCAGTAACTGAAAAGCCTCATGCGTTCGTCCCCACTCAAACTGAACCTTCGCCTTTGTAAGACCATGTAAAGGTGTCGCATAAGTAGAAAAATATCGAATAAATTTGCGCAAATATTGGCAAGCCCCCCATGAAGCTTCTCACATCCGTTACTATCCTAGGCGCCGGCCACTTCGTGATCACCTCCATCTTGCTTGGATCTATTCTCCACTGGCTCTTCCCCACGATGAAACCGAGATACACTAGGTCGTCCTTCTCAAATTCGTACTTTTTCCCGTTAAGCTTCAGCTGTCTGTCCTGCAGCATTTTAAAAACCTTCTCTACATGAACAAGATGCTCCTCCCAGGTCCTGCTATACATCAAGATATCATCGAGATAAACTATCATAAAATCCTCTATAAAAGGTCGCAACAAATCATTCATGAGCCTCATAAAGGTCACTGAAGCGTTGCATAACCCGAACGACATCACCAACCACTCGAACATGTCCTGTTTAGTCTTGAACGCAGTCTTCCAAGTGGCATCCTATCGAATCCTCACCTGATGGTAACCAGACTTGAGATCAAACTTTGTGAAGAACCTTGCTCCTTCTAACTGATCCATAAGATCATCGATCTGTGATAGTGGGTAACGATTCTTGACTGTTATCTCGTTGAGCGCCCGGTGATAGTGGGTAACGATTCTGTGATAGTGAGATCCACGCACATACGCTAGCCTCCATCTTTCTTGGGCACTAACAACACTAGCAACCCACAAGGTAAACAACTAGGCACTATCACTCCCGTCTCTAGAAGTTCCTGAACTTGCTTCTTGATCTCCTCGGACTCTTGTACAGATGTGCGGTAAAAGGCTATATTCGGCAAAGAACTCTCTCCCGTCAACATAATCTCGTGCTCCACATTCTGTCTCGGCGGTAGCCCAATGATCTCCGAAAATAAATCTACATACTTGGCCTTCAACCTGTTAAGATCTCCCTTCTGAAGCTTGCTCAAGATAGTCAAACATACTCTACTCAGCTGCTCCTTATAAGGCCTAATGAATAATAAAACAAACTTCTTGCTTACATTCACTAGCTTTTTTGCCTGAGTCACCATCAAACTCGTCTTCTACGGAAGAGATGCGAAACAAAATATGAACTGCTCGTCATCCTTGGTGAACGTATATTTCTGGGCCCGTTTGTCGTAGACCGCGTACCTATCCCACAAATAAGGATTGCCCAGTATAACCTGAACGATATCACACGTGACCTCATCAATATACAACTCGTGGAGTGCAAATATGAAAGTGCATTGATTGATCACACTCAACCCGACTCCTTCTGAATCCACCCTAAAGGATAGGGCTTCGGATGCTTGACAGTTTTCAGACCTAGCTTCTGAACCAATGCTTCAGATATTAAATTCTTCTAGCTCCTTGGATCAATGATAACATTAACCAAGCTAGTCTTCACCTGCAATTTAAGAACAAAAAGCTGCTCTCTGGGGTCTCCGTCTTCCTTCGTGATCTGTTTTTCTGCTATAAGGTTGATACTGCTGTTATGCTCTGTCATCCCGGGGACTTTCTTCGGACCCTGTGCTATCACGTATGTCTTTTTCTCCTCCTTTAATTCCTTCGGTTTCAGATGAGGATACTTCTCCTAGCATCGATTACAAGTCAATCCTGCCTTTATTGAGTTTTTCTCTTCCTTTAATCCTTCTTTAATCCTACCTTTTTCTCCTCCTTTAATCCCTTCAGTATCAGATGAGGATCCTGTGCTATCACGTATGTCTTTTTCTCCTCCTTTAATCTCTTCGGTTTCAGATGAGGATACTTCTCCTAGCATCGATTTCAGAGGAGGATACTTCGGTTTCAGATGAGCCCTGTCTACTTGCAGTGATTACAAGCCAATCCTGCCTTCCCTGGGTCGCTCTTCTTCTTCTCCTCAGGTTGGGAGCCACTAGACTTACCTCCTGCTTGTTTGGCATCCCTTTCGGCTCGTTGCCCTTCTTTTGCTTGCCTTTAATGGCAATAACTTTCACGCTCGCCTCTGCAATTGACTCAACCATGAATAGCTTCATCTCCTTCCGGAGGTATTCGTTCAATACTTCATAAAGACCGAGTACTCCATCGCAATGTTGAGGACCATCACTTGTTGAAACTCAATCGTGTATTCTTGAACGGTTTGAATCTTTTGGCGCAAGCCGTACCATTTGTACCAGCGCTCTTCAATGAATCCCACCGGGTAGAACTGCTTTCTTAGCAACTCCTTGAATTTGTTCCACGACATCGCTTTCTTCTCCTGCTTGCAATAGGATTTTCACCATGTCAATGCGTGATTTGTAAGCTTCAATGTCGCAAAAACGATCTTTTTTTTGACGAATAGCCATAAGGAGTAAAATAAGTCTCCATACGCTCGATCCAATCATCAATCCTTTCGACGTTAACACTCTCATCATAAACATGAATCTTTACTCTGAAATCAATATTCAGATTTTGGTAAGGCCCCTTAACCCCATGATACGGAGCAGTCTTGACGGCCCCGACCTCCTCATCGGAATCTGAATTCTCACTGTCTCCATCGGACTTTACAGGTTTATTCTTGGACCTGGAAAAAGATTCGTCCTTTTTGTCCCTTCCATAGATGAGATCAACGAGTTGCGTGAGAGTCGACCCGATTGTTTCGATATGTTTCTCCAACGCATCAAGCCTTGTTGAATTGTCACTTTCCGTCATCTTCTTCTTCCTTGATTTCTGAACTTCTTCTAAAAACACAAGGATCTTGCCTAGCTTCTTGTATTGCGATTGAGTAAGGATCATACACAGGATACTCCTTTGTAGGATCTGATTTGCTCTGATACCAACTTGATACGAGTTGCCGAGCGAGCACATTTGATCGCGGAATTATCAAATGTGGGGTTGAGAAGAAAACAGCAGGAACACACATGACAATTCAATTGACGAAGGAAAATACCTTCTCTAGATTATGAAGAATTTCAAAGATAACAAAATTTCTCCCTCACAATCTCGCTAGAATAAAGAATAACCTTTCTATTCTCTTTTTAATCCAATCTAATGATTAGAATCTCTCTTCTTATGTTTAGAAACCCTAAACAATCCCTATTTATAGGGTAAGCAACGTGGATGACAAAATCGTAAATAACCAAGTCAAAACTCAACCAGGATTCGTCTCAAAACAGAGTCCAACTAGGTCTAGGAAACTGATCCGGCCGACTGATGTACCAATACCGGTCGATCGGTCTCCCACTATCGGTCGACTGACAAGTGTGTCTCGGTCAACCGACCAGAGAACACGTTTCTCGTCTTGTAGTGTGCACTTATCCGGTCGACCGGTGCTGAGTGTTCGGTCGACCGGCCAGAGACTTGTTAACATTAAAGTAGGTAGTTTGGATATTAACAGCAAGTTGGTCAAAACATCACCTTCGTTGGTAGATCATTTCATCATTTTAGGATGTTTTATGAGCTGATTATGTTTAGTTTTTATGTAAGGGTAATGACTTAGTAAGGGTTCGTGATTTGTGAGGCATATGCACGATCTTTTAGTTGAGGGTGAGATTTGGTGCAACTATATTGGTTGCTGCCTTTCTGGAGACCGTGGCTCGGAAAATAGCCTCTCCGCATATGGGCTGAGGTTGGGTACATCTGATCATCCCACCCACAATGGTGGGAGGCTCATGCAATGGACCGTACTTTTTATATTAGATTTTTTAGTTATTTTAATCTTTTTGTTATGCCTAACTAGTAGAAGATAGAACATTTTTGAATTACTTGTGATTCTTTTTGGATTATCTACTGTCAATTTCTTAGGCATTGTTCAATCCTTCAATTAAAAAGGAATTACCTTCTTCGTGAAATGCTATTTTTCGTGGTGATCGAGTTTTCTTAAGTTTTTTTTACCTTCAAAAGGTGATTGGCGATTGCCGGATGAACATCTATCCATAAATCAAGTGTATCATGTGTTGTATTATTGACATACTGTTAATTTTATAACCTTTGGATGAATGGGTAAAAAGTCCTTAAATCGCTTTTAATTTTTTTCATCAAGATTGTTTTTGGGTATGGATAATCACTTTAGGGATAAAAATCATGATGTTTAGTTAGACTGCTCATCTGTCATGATTTTTGAGGGAAGAAAATTTCTTGTGTTGGTGGCTTATTCTACCGACACATGCACATGAACATATTTTATGCTTTAATGATACGAGTCGCCGTGCGAGCACCCTTTGGTCGCGGAATTACCAAAAGGTGGGTTGAGAAGAGGATGACCAAAACACAAGAACAACTCAGTATAAGGCGAAGGAAAATACCTTCTCTAGATTATGAAGAACAAAAGATTACAATCTCTCCCTCACAATCTCACTAGAATCGAGAACAACCTCTCAATTCTCTCTCTAAACCCTAATACAATTATTAGAATTTCTCTTGATCACTTCTATCTGAGATCTGATTGTTTAGAACCCTAAAACAATCCTATTTATATGTGTGCAAACGTGGATGGCAATCTTGTAAATAAACAAGCCCAAAAGAATCAGGAATCCCTGCCAAAACAGAATCCAAAACGAAACAGGAAACCCAGAAATCGCGATCCGGTCGACCGCCAGGCTTGGTCCGGTCGACCGGCCAGAGAGTTTTCTTAAACCCTGCAGCGTGCAGGTTTTCCGGTCGACCGACATGTGTGCTGCGGTCGACCGGCCAGAGATCTGCCAGTTTACCCTGTTTCTTTTGCGTTTCGCTCCTGTTGACTTCTTTCGCCGTCTTCTTTGGCTCCATCCATGCTCCTATTCCCAAGATATGAGAATCTCCTATCCTCAAGCTCCCATGAGGATCACTAAGCTCCTGAAGAGAAGATACACCCGTATCATTTAAACTTTTTGGAAGGATTTGGAGCCAAATCCTTTCTTTGAGGTTTGATATTGTGGCATTCCTTTATTGAAATTCACGTTCATTGACGGGATTTTTCGTGGTTGCAAACTGTTAGACTGGATTATCATGTTGTCGGTATTAATGCAAAACAAAGATTTAAAAAAATATGTTAAAATTACAAAGCCTAGTGAATATAGTAGGCAATATCTGACATATTATATAATTGAGTATACGCTGGAATAAAAGTATGCATACATTCAAGAAGCGTCCAAAAGGTTTCGGTATGGTACGTACGGGTACAGGAACATGTCCGGTACAGGTATGACTTCTGATTAGAATTTTCCAGGCTACATAGTCTGGGGTAGAGTCAATCCAATTGAATAGTTAAGCTGGATTCCTAGTTATGGCTTATGAGTTAAGACTAATATAACAATTGTGGAGATAAAGCGGTTATGTGATGATTTATTTTGTAATCTTCTATGTCATAATTCTTGATGAATTAAAACTAACAAGCTATGAGTTTTGATGATTTATCATATTGGATTAGACCAAAAACAGATGAATCCAAACACTATCTATCTATTTTTAGGTCTTTTCTAATTAACAAGTTTTCACTGTGAGGCTAAAGCAGAACTATTTGTAACTTTTGGCGGTTGCGGTTCTGTTTGAAAATGTTGATTGTTGAATGATGATTATTTGACTTTAAATCTATAAATCAACATTTTAATCACAAGTTTTCTGGACTTTTTTTATTCTAAGTATAACTTCATTTAATCAATGTCTGATACTTTAAACTTCATAACTTCTTTTGTGATGGTAGTTATCAGGCAAAAGCAGTGTTATTTTCTGATTAGAACTTGATTGACATGCTTCGAATCTGGTATGGTACAATTGATACTTAAGACTTATCAGTATTCACTAGCATTCTCATATCTTAATTTAAACTTTATTAGATTACACTACAAATACCCGTGTTGTGCATCAGTATTCACTAGCATTCTCATATCTTAATTTAAACTTTATTAGATTACACTACAAATACCCGTGTTGTGCTTTTGCGGATCCATATAAGTGGTTATTGATCGTTGTCATTATCTTCTTCATGCATAACTTCTTATTAGAAAATCTTTAGTCTCTGATGCATTTCTTCTTGAATTTGTAGCAAGACCTGCAAAGCTTGTTAGAGATGGCGAAATGTCAGCACCATGTGGAACAACAGTTCTTTATCCTACTACTGGTGGTAATATCCACTGCTTTAAAGCTATAACCCCGTGTGCGCTCTTCGACATTTTAACGCCCCCTTATTCATCAGAGGATGGGCGACATTGCTCATATTTCCGGAAGTTACCAAAAAAGGATCTATCTGGTAATCTTTTATAGCTGTCTCAAGGTTCTCAGCTACTTGATGGGTTAATTGCAAATGGACTGTAGTATCTCGCATTGGAACTTATTACCCCAGTAGTTTGATTTTGGCAGATGCATCTAGATGAAACTTTTTGACCGTTTAACCCTAAGATAGACTCACTAATTTCACCAGGAGCAAAGGAGCAATATCCGCCAAAATTTCACCCAGGGTAAAAGATTTAAAAAAAAAAAATTGTTACCCGGAGGGTCTATCTGCCGGAATGAAACTTTTAAGTGATAATAAGTTCCGAAGCGCAATACTACAGGGGATCTGTGTGCAATTAACTCTTATTCGGTGGTTGTTTCTGACTCGTTCTTATCATCTTCAGATGACTATATAGAATACGCAGAAAGTATTTTACCGGATGGGATGAAGGCTTCTGAAGTGGGTTGGTTGGAAGAGTATCAGCCTCCAGATAGTTTTGTGATCAGGAGAGGGTTGTATAAAGGCCCTGCTCTTAAAATTTAGAGATATAAAGTTGGTGTAAACTTCCATTAGTTAGATTGGTTCCCAGTGGTAACATAGAGTTTCGGCCCCGTCATAATTGGGCTGTCATATGAGCTGTGAATAATTTATTAGAATAATTAGTTTCATTATATGCAGCAGCAGGGCATTTGTCAGTATAAATCACAATTTGTTCACTTTTATCGTCAACAACTGACGAGGAATAATATTAGGGTTTGGTCGTGTGTTGGCAATGGATCCTCCTGTTGTGATATCTCTGCTGTTGGTAGACTTTTGTCATAATAAAGACTTGAAATTTCACGTCCTGATTGGTTATTGGTGACTACCCGTTCGTTCACGTTCGTATCATCTGTTACCCTCGGTTGCCCGGTAGGTATCGTCCATCATTTATTTGGATCTTTTTATGCGGCAACGGCAAGCAATAGAGATCTTGGTGGCTCGCACGGATGCTCGTTTGCGGATAAGGTGAGTCGATGTCTCTGTATTTAGCTGTTAGAGGGTCTGCTAGGCCCTAAAGAGCTGAGGCCTGGCCCAATAAGAGTAGTCGGTATTGTTTGGCTGACGAAGAAAATAGGTGATGCGTCACCCATTTCGTTGACGTCGAAACCAATTACCTTCAAATTCGAGGGAGTTGAATGCAAAGTTAGCCAGGTGATGAGGTGGAAGTATCCTCTCCATAACGTGGCACTAAAAAAAGAAAAAAAGGAAAAAAGAAAAAAAATCTACCCTAGACCTAACCCGAATTATGTTTGAAAATTTTTGAACTTAGATTAAAATGTAAGGACTATTTCGCTAAAATGTTTGTTCTTACTTTAAAACACTATTGGCCTTGCATAATTATGTTTTCGTAAATTGAGTTCATCAAGCTACTGGGATAACAAAATTAACCCATTTCTGATGTTCTTGTGTCAAGGAAAGTGGGAAGTATGCTTGATCCGTGTGCATAATTTTAACCTATCCTCACTGTCCAAAAAAGTCCTTGTTTCCATCGTACATTCTAACAACAGGGAAATGAGCCAGACTCCTACCTAAAATCCAAAACTTTTTCTTCATCTTCGCAATCATAGAAAAGCCAAGAATTTTTTGGAACTAGAAGATAAAATCATACGTCCACAAAATGCCAAGAAACTTAGCACAAATATCAACCGTATACATTTTCTTCAAAATCCACAGTATACAAAAAAATTTGCATGTGAGACAACAGTTCGATCGGATCAAATGCCAAGCTTCGCGGCGCTTGTTCAGCATGCATCACATACTTGTTTCTTGATTCAGCATCATCCTATTTTGTCAGTCACATTAATTAATTAATTAATTAATCAATTAATTAACTATCAAGTATTTATTTATTAATTAATTAGGACAAACATTAGCATTGGGAATATGAAAGTTCCTGTATGAGATGATGAGAGGCACAGTGGTCAGTTAGATACTTAGAGATCTACCTACTGTCCTCTTGTTTTATGTTATGAATATTTTCTTGGCATTGATAATGATCAAGTATTTTGATTTGTATAACAACTTTATTCCGCAATCTTCAGTCCCAACTCATATTATCCAAGTCATTTTTCCAAAACATAGGTGTCTGTCTGTTGAACATAAGAAAACTTGATTATATAGAGCTAGCTAGAACTTTACGGGTGGAGCTTATATGTTAAAATGAGTTGTTTAATTAGTTCAGTTCACCGAAAATATAACCAATGTAAGTGGCATTGCATCTAATTTAGTCAAATCATCTAGTACTATACAGTTTCTATTACAGTTTGCGACAGGGGCCTTTAATATGTGTTTGGATCTTCTTCACTATTAAAAAACTTAACAATCATTACTTTTAATATTAATCATCTACGTCAAGTATACGTACATTAGCAAATTCAAAATTTAGCACTAATCATGTCCTCAATGTACTACATATATATTCGCATATTTCAGTACAAATGAGAGCAAATGATTGTAATTTAATAAGAATGGTCTCTCAATTACAATTTTTGATAGAAAAAAAAAAAAATCCAATTCAAGCTTGTTTTTATATACTCTGGTGTGTGTGTGTATATATATACACACACACACAGAGAGACACCACTCATTTATTTCTTCAATTTCAAGTTCTGTGCATTCTAAAGTTGCTCTAAAATCATTTGTGTATATTGTAACCAGAGTTGGTCTTGCAGACAATACTCTCTTCTATTTTATAGGGTTTTTACTTGAAAATCACCTTACTTTTATCAAAATTGATACTTTTCTTCTTTAAAGTTTTTTTGTCAGTGCCATCTTTACTTGTTAACATCTTTGCAATGTCACATCTATTTTAATTTTCAACCTAAAAAACACGTGAACTGACCATTTTACCCCCTAACAAAGGCATGTGCTTTTCACATGTGTCCTATTTAAGTATAATCTTAAGGGATTTTTTCAATATTAGTCCTCCAAATCGTTCATATTTTGAACTTAATATCTCTCTCTCTCTCTCTCTCTCTCTCTCTCTCTCTCTCTCAAACAACCATGGATCTCCAAACCCTAGCACAATCCCCAAACGCTAATTCCCCATCCCTAAATTCTAATCTCATCTCCCCTCAATCCTCCTCCATCCCTCCCTCCCTCCGATTCAAGAAAGGAAAAAAAAAAAAAGAGAAAACCTCCCCCAACCCTTAATCTCACCTCTCACCAATCTTCCCTCTCTTCCCCCTTCAATCTAAGGGAAAAAAAAATCCTCTTGAAAACCCAGAAAAGGAATAAAAGATCGACAAATAGGGCTCCCTATAACCCTCTCCGATGAGGACAACGCTGATCGGTTGAAGAGGACATCGCTTCGAGGACTAATTTTAAAATATGATAATATATTGGGGTCTAATGACAAAACATGAAAAATTTGGGGGCCAATATTAAAAAAAAAATCTTTTTTTAATGATTAATTAGATGCATGTGCTTTGCACGTGTTTGGGGTGCGGGTATTTTTGTCAATTCATGTGTTTTTAGGCTAAAAACTCAAATAAGCGTAACATTGTAAAAATGTTAGCCTGTAAAAGTGGGATTGACCCAAAAAACTTTAAAGATGGTAAATATTAATTTTGATAAAAGTAAAGGTGGTACTAATGTAGAAACCCTATTTCATAGGCATAATGAATGAGATTAGGACAAGTGCTAATTAAGTAGTGGAAGTGTCGGTATATACTTGTGTGTTCTTTCTTTCCCCCTCCTTATGCAATATCGATCATCATGAACTGTGATTATTACCTATTTGCTGAAAGTATTTGGCGAGTCAAATGAGCGGGAACCTTCACGAGGGCAGTGATCACTGATCACTTTGCTATCCACGAACATGCATTTGGAAGATAAAATAATTAATTAAAAAAAAATTTCCCACCAAATTCCCTGCAGAGATTCTCTCTCAGCCACAATAAACAAACCCTAAAATGTCAACTACATGCAGACGTCCAAACAAAATCGGAGAATTGTTAAGAAGCCCTCTTTTTATTTCTTTAATTTTTTTGTCATTTAGTTTTCCTAAATACACGAGACTCAATCTCTTACATTAGTTTAGAAGTTGTACTATAGTTCAATAGATAATGCAATCATATTGGCTTTTGCCCAAGAATGTCTTGTCATCTTGCCACTTGGAATCTCTTTGCGTGGGGAAAGCTCTAGCTTGTCGGCACTAAGTATAGGGATATTCTTTAATCCCTTGTGTATTTAGCTTATATTTGTTTAATACATTCTTTTGTACGCATAGCATCGTAAGCTAGGTTTTAGAGATGATCAAGATGCAAAACAATATTGGGATATGTTGTACCCATCAATATGGCCCATCATATATAAATACGGCTAATTTCATTTCCAAATATATGAAAATGGTTCAAAATTATTTGAGTGATTCAAACGTACGGCTCATAGCTCTAGTAAACTTAAAGTTGATAGATGGGTTGTTTCCCTACTTCTTGATCTATTGGATTTGTTTTGAGATGCTTGTGGATGTGTTGCACTTCAAAAGTGAACAAAATCTAAGAGATAAAAAAGTTAGCGGAGAGAGCTCTCCATCTGCTTAAATTTACAAGAGTTGTTATTTATTTATTTATTTTTTGTCAATAAAAAAGAAAAACTTTATTTCATTTACCAAATGTGAAGTTAAGTACATCAAGACTCGATGAAACTGAGAATCAAAATAAAAGATCAAGTTGGAAAACATTCTAACTACAAAGAACTCAACCAGCCTGACAATTGCCTATCAGTAGAAATATTAAGAGTGGAAGTTAACATCGAGAATTTGATATCTTTTAGAAGTATGCCCATATATAGTAGAAGTAGAAGAGAGTGCCCATCCTCTTTACCCTTTGCTTGAGACCGTTAATTGCTAGTGAGCTTCGTGGTAAATCAGTAGGAGATTAGAAGCCATTCACAAGCTTTCCATTTTAAATTGAAGCCAATCCATCACTGCATTGCAAATAAACATACAATAAGGACAGCTTAAAAACAAATGAAGATAAGATTCCTCCTCATTACTGGAGCAAAGCACGCAGGTGTTAGTAGATTTAATCGTCATTTTACATAGCCCATGTCTTGAGTAAGAAGTTTAATTAGCTTGAAAGGCAAGCCATAAAAGAGACTTTACAGATGTTCATAGATGTTCACACTATTTTATTGTTAGGTTACACACCAACAATAACGCCTCGAACAGAGACATATACACAGAATAAAGGCACAAAAAATTAATCACAGTACTCACAGATATATGTGGTTCACTCCTTCATAGCTACTCCACAGTGCAACGACGACGCCAAATTCTTTTATATCCCAAAAGAATAGATTAAAGAGAACACCCTCTCTTGATCAGATACAGTCCAAGAACTCTCACAATCTCTCTCTGTGTTTTCTCTCTTACTCTTCTATGAGAGGAGTTGTTTCTTGGATGAATTTTTCTGAAGAGTTTAGGCCCTATTTATATTATTTGGGAAATACTATGTACAAATAAAATATTATCAGTGTGACCCACCACTAATAATAAAATATTTGTGGGACCCACATTTTTTATAAATTCTTAACAATGACTGCCATCGAATTTGAGTTTTCTTCTTGTGGGGCCCGTCTTTGTGGGCCCCACTTTTGTTTTGTTAGGCTCATAATCTCCCACTTGAAGATTTGATTGGATATCAATCATATCTTAACATCCTTCTTGGTTGCATCATCAGGATGTCTTGTATCTTTGGTGTCTTGCACGACCCTCAATATTCTCAACGGAGGCC